CATGATTTGTTGCCCTAAAATATTAATTATAAGCATGTATGGTTAATATTTTGCAGTGAAACAAAAAATTATAAGGAAAAAAATATTTTAAGTATGATTTAAATATTTGCCATTTTAATTAAGAGAAATACACAACTTAGTATTTTTTTATTTAAAATTTACATTTTTTTAAAAATACCTATTTTCTTTCCCATGATTTTTAATGCTTGTGTTTTTCTCTCACTTAAAATGATATAACAATATATCATTTAAAAGGATAAACACAAAACCCTAATTATAAAGGTATAAATAATTCACAAAATTAATTATATTAGGCTTGACTCTCCAACCATCCCAAGTCGTCATCTGCTAAATCAAAATTGCTACCGGACGACAACCAAAATTAAAAAAATTTAAATAATGGAGTTGGTTCCAATTTAATTTAGGAAAAATTGGAATACATTTTTATTTGAAAATGAGATCATCTTAGAAAAATGAGATTAGTTTCGAAAGTGTGATTATGCATAAGGAAAGGTAGAAACACTCCTAATACATTCATTTCAAAAATAGTTTCCTTAGTTGTTATGTAAATCATTATTAAGGGCTAAAAGACCAAAAATTTGCATTTAAAAAAATTACTCATTTGATGCCATTTTGAAACATTTTGCCGTACTAATGCGGAGTGTTGAATATTGTTGATGCGCAATTGCTACGTGGCAACTCATCATGAATTGTACATCTATTTTGTGCATGTCTAGTTATACACTGACAATGGCAATGTGCGGAACTAGTTGCAACTTGCATGATATATATACTTTGTAACGTCACATGTCAACTCTGATGACTTTTTGATCATTATAGCCCTTATTCAATAATTAATTATTAAATTAATTTTGATTATAAATTATTTCAAAAATTTAACCTCTCCAGAAAACATAACATCAATCTGTTTCTATTTGACCATTGATCATCAAGCCTATCCAGATAGCCCCCTCCCTACTCGGATATTTTTTGAAATTTTTCTCCTACCCGCACAAGAAGAGAATACCCGGATATATTTCAAAATTCTGAAAAAATATTTGAATTATTTACCCGAGTAAGGAAGGGACTACCAGGATAAATAATGATGTACTACTCTCAACCCTGTTCATCCACTACTCTCTTGCCACTTTGTGTTCTTTGTCTTCATGGTTCTTTTGCTTTGAGTTACCTCTTTCCAAGTTCAAGAATTTTTGTACTTGTTTCTTCACCTTGCGGCTTCCCTATTACTTCACTGTATCATTAAATTTCTCAATTTCCAACTTTTATGTATAGCAGAGAGCTATACATATATTGAACAAAATCATTAGCTTTTTCTGGAAAACATGAAAGTGGGGTTTTTTCAGGTCCCTTGTTTTCTTATGATGATTATGAAGAACCCATAAAAAGTGTATTTTTTTTTAATCTATCTAGTAGAAGCTGCGTATGATTGAATTTTAAGATGGTGTTGGTGTTTGATGCCTTGGTTTCAGGTGCGAAATCGGTTGAGAAGGAACCAAAGTTAAATTTTATTGATATCTTTGGTTCATTATTTGAGTATGTGGACCAGCCACTGCTTCCATCTCAGGTGAAGGATCTAACAAATTGTTTTCATCGATCCCAGTTATATATACTATCTATCATTTTAATTATTTATTAATGAATAGTATTTTGCAGATTAACTTTGCTAGATAGGGAAAGCCACGCTTATCACTCACATCCAAGGCGAAATACCACAACACTTTCCAGAGGGTGTCTTCATTCGAAATGGTGCATCCCATGACCTTCTAACTTTGGATCTGTGCTTAACAAGATTATGGAAAAGGGAAACATGAAAATAAAATTATTCCTTTCACGCTTATGGTGTTGGTCTTTCTTTCAACCACTTGAGAAGGAAGAGAACAGTGATGAGGATTAGGAGGCGTGCTTTCATCAACAGGAAAAGCTACGGTTATTTATCCGGGTAGCCCCTTCCCTATTCGGATAAATAATTCAAATATTTTTTTTCAGAATTTTAAAATATACTTGAGTATCCTTTTCACTACTCGGGTAGGAAAAAAATTTCAAAAAATATTCGAGTAGGCTTGATGGTCAACGGTCAAATATGGACAGATTGGTGTTATGTTTTCTGAAGAAGTTAAATTTTTGAAATAGTTTATAATTAAGGTCAATCTGATAATAATTAATTATTAAATAAGGGCTACAATAATTAAAAAGATCAACTCTGATATTTTACACTTATACAATATCAGTGTACATACAAAAATTACATAGCCAACCTAAGTTCGAAAATACGTTATGTAGAAAGCAAGATACAATCTATTCATAAATCAATTAGCCATAATTTTAATCAAAATCCACCAACTCTAGAAGATGTTACTTAACTTGTTTGCTGTTCTCATGGCTAGGTCCACCACATTCTTTTGTTCATATATATTCACGTATATTTAAAATCTAAATTTGTCAGCACTCATTTGGAACACTGCCAGCCGATTTACTCAAGTAAGACTAGAGTCTTGCTCGCCCAAAATTTGAGCATTCTGAACCTCAGCCTTGGTAAAACTCCACCATCCCCTAACTCTTGCAAACGTGTGCATGTTTGGTTCAATTTGTCCTGCCTCGATCGCATAGTACGAGTCTAACTATTAGCTTGACTTGTCCTATTTATAAAAAAAAATGGCCTGACTTGACCTGTTAGTCTGTTAAAATTAAAAACAAAAAACTTTTTTATATCTTTTGTTTTTTCTTCAAGTCATACTTATTATGTAGCCAATCTCTACCGTATATTAAAGCTTGGATGGTATCTTCAGCCAAGCTAGAACGATAGACATCAATAACTCTTCCTACAATACTAAATGTTGATTATGATGGTACTGTAGAGATTGATACAGATCTTATGTCACCTCCAGAGATAGTATTGGTGAGAGATCGAATTTAGGTTATTCCACCACCTACTTAATTCACATGCACCAATTGAACCAATGTTTTAAAACCCAGCTCGGACCGGCCGGGTCGACCCGGGACTCGGTGATCAGGTGGGTTCCCCGATCCGAGCAGGTAGTTGGACCGCTTCTGTAGTCAACCCGGATTGGACCGGTTGACCCGGTCGAAACCCGGCGACCTGGTTGACCCGGGTTAGACCGGTTATTCCTCTCTCTTTTTTGGTAAATTTTTTTTTTATAAGAACTCTTGAATTAAATCATATTCATATTTTATGATGAATATGATTAAAAGTAAGATGAAAATAATAAGGTATTTTAGATTAGTGCAGTTCGTTTATGTAATTTAGTTGCATCTTATAATGATCTCATGAAGTTAAGTGGTGATAAACACTGATGGTCTCATGATCTCATCTCAACGGCGGACACTTTTTTCTTAGTGTATATTTCATGCATACTATTTGTTATCATGATAACGGTGACACTTTTTTCTTAATGTATATTTCATGCATACTTTTTGTTATCATGATTTAATTTATCCGTATCATGTCAAGCACAAAAGGTGCATTTAACTTATATTGCAATTTTAATCCAATATTAGGATATGGTCTAGAGCTAGAAGCTTAGAAGTATATAATATTTGCTATAATTGAAAATCAATTTATTTTTTGAAGCTCATTGATAGTTTTCTTATGTGAATTTTTATTAATATAAGTAATATTTTTATATTTTTAATATGTTAATAGTAATTCCGGTTCAACCCGGTTGAACCCAGTTGAACCAGTGACTCAGTAACCCAGTACCTCGACCGGTTCGATGACCGGTCCGAGTTTTAAAACACTGAATTGAACTATCACCATTTGGTACTACTATGAATAATATTATTTTATTTAATTTAAAATAAATAATATGATATAGGCTGGCCTGTAGGCTTATAGGCCCGACATGTAACAGAAAGGCCTATCACCTATTTTCTAAATAGGCTTCTTTAAAAACTCGAGCATGTTCTATTTGACTATATGTAATAGGTCAAGTCCGGCCTGATATAAGCTAAGCCGTAGTGAATTTTTTTTAAATACTACAGTTGTACCAAATTGAGTACATCATTTTACTAAAATAGGAAATTTTTATCCCATTTTAATCCCTTGATTTTTATCCATTTCCTTTTATGCCCTTATTGCTTTCTAATTTGGGAACGGTACTACCTATGACGGGTAGTACCGAAAGTTTGCTCAGCTGTAGGCTCCTATAATCGAATCCGGCCCACTTTCACCCCTAATAGTCAGGTAATCAAGTCCTATAGACCATCTTTCTTATTTTACCTATTACAGGAGGTTGTCCAAGGGTGCAAACACACTATTCAATTCCCTTACACATTAGTTCTATACGAATCTCACTTTTCCTACACATACATGATTACTTCAGGAAAGACTATGTACACATAAAGCTGTCCATCACATTTTTGTCCCACAAGTTTACCACGTTTCATACATATAATCACACGAGTGTGCCGTATACATAACATGTGGATCCTATCTTAGCCGGACTTTGGCTTGGAATATGAAATACCAACAATTATGGCTAGAGGAATACTCTGACAGCTAAAGATCTGATTTGCAATGGCTGCCATGAAGTCATTCTCTATATTCATTGGTTTACAACACCAAACGATTGATGGAACAACCTTGGAAGATTAAAATCACCCACAGCTTTATAGAAGATAACAGAGTGGTTAGATTATTAACTGAAATTATGGAAAGATCGTCTCCAAGAATACTGGCCTTTATTGCAACATGACTGAATGGGGTTGCCACCCACGCATGTTCTGCAATCAGCACCGCTTGTACGTAGTTATTAATTTTCTGTTGGAGTCTGTTTTTCTTTCAATGTTAACAAAAATAAAATAAAACAAACAAATATTTCATTCATTCCATCACGCATTCTTTTTTATTTCTATTTTTTTGGTCTGACGTAAAGCGTTGCTTTGGCACAGTAACGCCCACAAAATGAAAAATCGAAGGGTGTTTACTTTATTTTTATTTTTTTCCCCCCTTTCTTCCTTCATCGTATATACAGAATTTGATGAAGCTAAATCTTTACTTGAAATTTAAAAGAAGAATCAGAGCCGTTAAGACCTTGATCCCATAGTGGTTATAAACACACTTCAGTTCAGTAGTTCACACAACATCAGGTTGCACTTGTATTTCCCCATGTGACGAATCCTCAGCTATAAACCTGTTAGACCCACCACCATGCACTTTACACACGGGTGAATCATCTACTAAAGCCACATCATGTTGTTGAATAACCAACACCGACGACACAACCCCCTGTCCCGACGATGTTAAAACGTCCCCAATAGGTCCTAACTCCGCGTGCTCCGCTTGCCTCTCCGCCAGTTCCGCCACCATACTCGACGGAAACCGACCCTTCCCAACAATTATCAAATCATAATCCCCACTTCTCCCTGTTCCCAACACCTCCTCCACAACATTCCCACTAACCTTCTCTATATACTCAACCATCCCATCCCACTTGCTTCTAAACTCTCCCATTGCCTTCTCATCCAACTCCTGCAATATAATGAGAAAATGAAAATATTCACATTTTAAATAACATAGATACAGAAAAATGAGAATCATACACAAAGAAAGTAGGTGATTTTTTTAATTTAAAATTCAAATTTTCTGTGTACGTATCTTTCTTAAAAGGACATAAGTGTCTGTCATTTAAAATGACAAATATTTTCTTTGGATTTGTATTTTTTACCTTTTCTTGTTCGCGGTTCATTTTAGCGGTGGAGAAACTGTAGCTTTTGTCGCTGCTTTTGTCGGGTGAGGGGCGCAACACAATGCTTTTACTATTCAATCCATCTTTCTCAACGAACCTTACAACTGTCACTTTAACTGCCGGGTGCTCAGCCATTTTCTTACCCAACTCTAGAGCCTCTCGATCATCGGGCCCACCAAAGAACACGATGCATACACGTTGGGTCACAGTGTTATTTGGGCCTGGATTATTAGGCCCATCGGTATTGCCGTATCCTCGGTCCACAAGCACAGCCACGGAGCAAGGTGCGTTCTTGAGTACCTTCTGGTTCACCACTCTCCATCCGTGGCCCACGTTCTCCGACACCTCGTGACTCCCACTGTCTCCGTCCACTTCCATCATCCTCCACTGTTTGTGGAATGGCAAGATGATCATGGTCACCCTCTTTTCCTCCGCCACGTGGCAGATGTCATCGTGCATGGTGGAGAGAGAAGAGATGGCTGTAGTGGGCCGGACAGTGACCCGGCCCAGTTGACTGTAGGCCTGGAAGGCCCCAGCGAGGCGATCATGCCACTCGCCGCCCCGGAAGCGGTTGAAGAAAGGGAAGCCATTCTTGCGAGCACGGCGAGCCAAAATGATGGAGGAGGATCGCTCTGTGAGCTCAACGAGGTGCATGATGAAAACCTTGAGGAGGGACTTCTTGGTGCTACGAGTTGACTCGATGAGAGCGATGATGGAAGGGACATTGCCAGGTCCATGGACGCAGGCCAAGACACGTAGCTCGTCCACGACACCATGATTAGAGGCGGAGGAGAGGTCACCTAGCTTGCGGTGGGTCTTGGCTATGATGCCACGAGCTGGTTTATACATGGCCATCACTGCTGGGGTTGTGATGAAGGTGGTCAATAGAGCCATGAGCACCAAGATTGCAAATATTTCATCGTTCAAAACCTGTAAATTAGCATCAAGCGTACAGCTTCATATAACCAATACTTTATGGTACATAAAAGTGTGAGATCATGTAAGAGAAAAAAATATATAAAGATAGACATATAATAATTTTTTATTTAAATTTAAAAAAAAAGACAATCACTTCCTCTCCCATAATTTTTATTCCTTGTGTCTATCTCTCTTAAAATGAAATAATTTGTGTCATTAAAAATGATAAACATCATACCCTTTTATATATGTATATATAAAAAAAAAAAATTATCTTTCATAATTATACGTGACACATTAAACACATATTTTACATGATTTTTCTTCAATTTTATTTAAAAGTAATAAAAAATAAATGAGTTCTTTAGTCATATCCAAAAAAAATATGATTTCATTGGCCAAAAATATGTCAAAGTCGCGGTGTGAGCGTGACGTCATTTTTCCGTGAGGCTGGAGCAACCAAAACGCATTGGTGGTTTTGTTCTAACAGTTTTATGTGTGGGGTTAACCAGTGTTCTTAAAAATATAAAAGTAAAAAATTCAATGAAAAAATATTTAATAAATTTCGGTGTGTATAAAAAAAGAATTAATAATTTTGTATTAAAATTTTATATGATATGATCACGTGAATTTTTTTTATATATATTAAATAAGTGAGGGTTAATATTATTAATGAAAAAGAGATAAATACAAATATTTTATATACATAATTAACTGATGTTAAATTTTAATACGAAAAGACTCCAATAAAAAAAAAAATAGATAGGTCAACGAAATTATAGTTAGGGGCAAGAGAATCTAAGATAATGCTGACGGTTAACTCAAGTCCGCAATAATTTCGGATCAGGATCTACAGAAAGAATGATCAAAATAGTATAATTCCAAAAAAAAAAATATTAAATAATATAATTTAATCATATTTAATTATGTGAACCCCACAAATATAATTCTAGTCATTTGCATTTGTTTTACAACCCCACAAAAATATTTGTCTTTTACTATTGATCTTTTATTTATTATACTTATATAAAAGTGAGTAAGTCTTATTATAAAAAAATTAATAAAATTCACTCATTTTTATGTGAATGTGAAAAAAAAATCTACAGTAAAAATAAAGACATTAAACGCATATATATTTCCTAGAGATTTTAACCTAAACTAGTCACTATGTTATATAAGAGGCAGCTCATACTCAGCACATTCAAATCTTTACTCCAGTATTTTAATTCATTTTGTACCTTATCTAACCCAAGTATTAGCGTCTTTGGAGGTACACACCACCTTCAACCCTACTGTGGCAGCAACCACATAATAAGGAATTGAATGAGCCTATGTTTGTCTTAGGTCTACATATACTTCCCTATCGCAACAATTTCATACTATTTTTGATAACAATGCATCCTGCACAAAATTTAGAAGGAATCCCCTTACAATTTTTTTATTTTTTTTCAGGTATACCACCTCTTCCTCTGCCCCTAACAACTATTGGACCAAGAGAGTTTTATCACTATAATATTCAAATCGTGACTCAATTCTGAATAAGCTAAGTCAATTGACTGACGTTTCATCACATTTGTTAATAATTACAAGCACGAAAGTGGTTGGAAATGGGAACGATGTATTAGGGCTAGACGAGTGTACACAAACCAAGACTTTTTGGTGTTGTGCTTTTCTACTACTGAGATATCATCAAAGTGAACACGCCATCCACCAAAATAGGTATAAACAAAAAATAATTAATCAACTGAACTGACGGACCATAACTTCCTAATTTATAAGCCAATTAAAACGTGTTCCAACTTACCAAAAACAAAAAAACAAAAAAAAAAACGTGTTTCAAGTCTCTCTTTTGAAAAGCAAGGAGCCGTAATAAAAAAACTAATTGGAAGAAATTGCCTATGCGGAAGAGCACGCAAGGGATGGAAAAGTAGGAAAAAAATTTAGGGAAAACATACATATATATATAAAAAAAAAAACAGCTAAGTTTCCTCATAATTACTTATTTCATCTTCAAAATTTTAAATTATTTACACTTATGACTTGAAATTTTTTTATCACTTACCTCTTCTGTCCTCTAAGTTAGAGAATAAGTGATAAAAAAAATTTAAATTAAAAGTGTAAATAATAACAAAATTTAAGTAAGAATATAAATAATTCAAAATTTTGAAGAGGAAATAAATGATTATTAAAAAAACTTTCAAGGTCTTTTCAAGTTTTCCCAAAGAACTAACATAGAAAAACAGAAACACCTTGCAATTATGTCAAGAAAAGAAATTCAATGGAAATGTCACACAATTTGACTTTTCAGAATTTTGATCTAACTTTCCATCTTATTTGGAATGGCTGCTAGTGCAACAAAACAGCGATAAAAGCAAAAACGAAAATGAAAATGAATTCTCTCTATTTAACGTAATCATATGATGTGTGAGAATCTAAATGACTCAACAGTGATATTGTAATTATATATCCTAATATATTTTATTATTATTATTAATTTATTTTTGTATAATTAAGATTCTCCTATATAATATAGTCATGTTAAATAACCTTATTAAAAATTTAAATAAATAAAATATGGGAAAAATTATTGAAATGCTACATGAGATAAGTTTTTTCTCTTACACACCCTTCGATAACTGTGTCACTTTTTTTTTTCAGATAATAGAGCCCACAAATTTGTCTATATGACATGAGATAACGTATCTCCTTTAACATGAAATTAATAAAACTCATAAAATATTCACCCAATTCCATCAATTACGAGGACATTATTTTCCTAATTTATCTTATGAAATTGAAACTGTACCAAGTCAATTAAATTGCTTGTACAGAGGAGCGACTAGTTTGCACTCAAAATAAACAATAAATTAATCACATCCTTCAACTTTCCATGCCATGTTCATGTCACTAACGTCTCTCTTTATACTTAATAGAACCTGACCCAATCAATAGTCGCCCCAATCAAACAAATAAATTAAAACATCAGCCCAAGCTTCACGGTATGAAAGCTTTGAAGTTGAAAGGAAGTTTTGCTCTTTGCTTATAAATTCTTTTATAAAAGGTATTAACGCAGTAAAAGATAGTGTGATTAGTGTTTTCCCGGGAGAATATAGTGTAGTTTGTAAGAGTTCGTAAACAAAAAATTTTGTAAACATAACCTGTCCCATTAATGTATGTTATATTATAGAAAATAAATTTTATCTTCTCCGTATATAAAAATGTACGGATTTACGTGGATCTATGTAAGAAGAAAAATTTATTTCAAAATATAATATAAAAACAATAAACCCTTTATAATATCCGTATACTTTTTTAATAAAAAAGATGAAAAAACGAAAAAGGACAAAAAGAAGAAGCTGACCTTTTTCTCCTTTCCAATGTTGAGTACGATGAGCTCCACGAGGCCTTTGGTGTTCATGAGCACGCCAAGTGTAAGCGATTCCCTCGCCGGAATCATGCACATCAACGCCACCACGAACGTGCCGAGAATCTTGCCGGCGCACGCCGTGGAAATCACGAGAAACAGAAGCCCCCAAGCCTCGCCGCCATGGATCTTAGTGACGTCAGTCTTCAACCCACTAGAGGCAAAGTAGAGTGGTAATAACAAACCCAAAACAAAATCCTCAATCCTCTCTATCAACCTCTCCGCAAAATTCCCACCCTTTGGAATAGTCAAACCGAACACGAAGGCTCCGAATATTGCGTGGATCCCGATCATATCCGTCATGAACCCGGATACCATTACCCCCGCTAACGTCAAACAAATATAAGCTTCGTCCACTGCTTCGTGCTCCAACGAACACCTCTGCCCGACCCGTTTCATCACGGGTCGGATAACAACCATCATAAATATAACAAACGCCACACCGCATAACAGAACCCAAACTGAAATCAGAGGGCTCTTGTGATTCCCGCCGCTACCGTCCCCCGAGATTGCCACCGCCAGGGCAAGGAGGATCCACGCGGCCACGTCGTTGAATGCGGCGGCGGCCATGGCCGTCTCTCCGATGGTCGTGGTCAGGAGCTTGAGCTCGGCTAGGATGCGGGCGAGCACAGGGAATGCGGTGATGGAAAGCGCAACTCCCATGAAAACAAGGAACTGAGCGAAACCGACTTTGTCGGCGCCGTCGATGGTTTTGCGGAGGATAACGGCGACGCCGATGCCGCAGATGAAAGGGAGGGAGATCCCGACGGCTGCTATGGTGAATGCTCTTCTACCACTGCGTCGAATTGAATTGAGATCGAGCTCGAGACCAACGAGGAAGAGGAAGAAAAGAAGGCCAATGTTTGCTACAGATTCAAGTATTGGCGTGCTCCATGATGGGAAAATTCGATGCATGTAACTTTGATTCCTTCCCAATGCAGATGGCCCTAACAGAATTCCACCCTGCACAAATCACACATAACATACATTCAATCACTTCACTTTCTAATATTATATTTATTATGTAATTAGTTAATATATATATATATATATATATATATATATATATATATATATATATATATTTATATTCCTTTAATGTATGTATGTATGTATGCATATACATACGACAATTTCAGCAATGACTTTGGGTTGTCGGAGAGGTTTGAAGAGGAAAGCGAGGAAGCGGGTAACGATGAGGACCAAGGTGATTTGAACTATAAGGAGTGGGAAGGCGTAGTCCAATGGATTGTCTCCTTGCCATACTCCATTTGAGGACGTTAGAATTGAGGTTATGTTAACCGGCATGGTTTCCGTGACAACGTACACGGTTTTTTTGTTAGCAAGTGGAACGAGAGAGACTTTTTTATGAAGGGAAAGTAACGCGGGAGAGAGAGGAATCGGGTGAGGGTGTAAAGATGTTCTGGCAAGTTATGATTTGTGAAGGAGCGGGTGGTTGTGTGTCATCTATTTATAGAAGCAACTTTGGCTTCAACGTGGGTGCGTGTTGCTTTATCACTTTATACTTATCTTTCACTCAGGTTTCCTCCTAGACTGCACTGTGCGCTTCGAAGCTAGGGCGGTCAGTGATCATAATAAGAAGGTGAATATATCTTATTTATTAGACTTTATTAGTTTAAATGGAGGAAATGACAATAATGCTGGGATGATATGACTCGCGTACACTTGTTTTTTTAACCTGAGGAGTTTAATTACCTCAATAATGCTCCATCTGGTCAAAGCTAGAAAATTAAATTTTAATATGATGTGTAAGTTTGGAGAAGGTGCGGGTCAACCACATCTTGGAATATTTTTTATTTTGAATTTTTTACATTAAAGTTGTAGGTATTAATTATAATTTTTTTTAATATAAATTCTTTAAAATTGTAATAATTGTGCACGTAAGACTTACTGTTGTTTTTTTTGTTTTTTTTTGGTGAATGACTCACTGTTATTTTTTATTATTACTTATGGATGTCAGAGAGACGAGACTCGAGAGTAACAATTTATTATATTATTTTAAGGTTCTCAATTTTTATGTTGCTGAAAAAAAATTTCTTTCACAATCAATTATAACTATATATTAGAGATAACACATAATTATAATATTAAAATTAATTTTTTTATTTTCGTCATATCAATTGACAGTTTTAAAAAAAAAAACAATTTTAAGTTGATACAAAAGTCATGTGGACCCACCACTTAGGAAAAAAATATAAAAAAATGAGATGACACGTGTTTTTATGTATCAAGAGTTAAAAATTAGTACCATTGTTTTATTATATCAATCACCGTACATAATTTTTTTTGAATAAATTTAGTGTATTTTTTATAAGAGATAATTCTGTTTAGAAAGGGTTTAATATTAAAGTTTTAAAACTCTTTCAAAGATATTACTGAAAAGAATCAAACACATACTCTCATATCTAATTATTCAGTTCCCATACATCAACTGAAGTATCATTATTTAGTTTCGTGTGCACAATTTCGATCCATCATGTTTCATCTTATGCACAGTTGGTTGACTTGCTGGCCAGAATAGTTCTCAATTTCACAATTTAAGAAACAAACTCATGGTTGTAGAGAATTATTATAGTTATTTACGGTAGTTTTATTCTTCTCTCTGCTGTGCATAGCATATTGAGACTCAAACCAATACACTGAATCACTTTCTCCTTCTCATAATTTTTTGTTTTCAATTCTCTATGTTTTCTCTCACGCTTAGGTGGGCTTTTGATACCTTTACACCCATATTAACTTTTAAACAATCAACTTAGAAAAATTAAAATATGAGCAGAAATCTGACAACAGAAAAAAAAAAAATTAAAACGAAATAAAACAGCAAAATTATGATAAAGCTTAGCGAATACTATTTCATTCTTTTTTGTGTCTTTTATTCTTGCACAATGAGGAATAAATTTTTAGTACTATCATAATGCATGCTCTTTTATTAAAAGTAGAAAATTAAGTGAGACTTTTCATTAGTATTAACCATAAAAAATAAATAGAATAAATATAATTAGAGAGTTACTTTTTCTAAATTTAGTAGGCGAACCAATTCTAGTAAATTGGGTATTTGAAACTTATATCTCTATGTATAACTACATAACTGGAGCCCTCAAATATATACATCCAAGGCATTTACGTTTGCTGAAAATTTAATTGGGTTACCACAAAATGCAGAGGGACTAATTAAACATGTACACTTTTTTCGAATTGATTTAGTGTCCCAAAGTGCGTTTTCTAAAGCTGTTTAGAAGAATTGATTCCTTTGAATATTTAAAAAAATTATATATTCATAATTGTGTGTGCTATACAACTAGTATGCATATTAACCTATTGTACCGGGAGAAATGCAGTGGTGGAGCTAACATGACATGACATGTTAGCCAGTGCCAAAAAATTCAGCCAGTGCCTAAATAGTTACGGTTCTCTAGCTACGATCAAAACGTGGCTAATTTTTTAAAAAATTGATACATTATTTACTACGTTTCAAGTGTAGCTAAATGAACGTGGCTAATTAAGTCAGTGTCTAGACACCTGCTGGCACCAACGTAGCTCCGCCACTGGAGAAATGTGCCAGTCAATTTGTGTTTTTCTTTATTTCAAAAAAATAAATAATAATATGAAGGTATTTCAAGTTAATTATAATGGTTATATAACAGTAAAAAGAGAAAATTGTTTGTCATTTTAAATAATATAAAATTATGTCATTTTAAGAGAGAAATAGACACAAAATAATATTTTTTATTTAAAATTTAAATTAAAAAAGTCACACAATTTTTCCCTCATGATTTTCATTCCTTGTTCTATCTCTCTCCTAAAATGACATAATTTATGTCATTCAAAAGGACAAACATCAAACCCATAATAAAAAGATAACAATTTTTTTAAGATAACTGGCGAGTAAAAAGTATTTATAATTTTTTAATTTATCTTTGAATGATTTATTCTTATTATATATATCTTTAAATTTTTAAATGAGTAATACGATATATTTATAATTTTATTTATTTTACAATTTAATTGGAGCCCTCAAATATGTGATTTAGAGAAAATTTTATATATCCAAAATTTAATTGGATCACATATTTATTTAAATATTCTATCTATGAATAAAATATTATTTTTTATACATAAGAAAAAGTGTGTGGGCGGTAGCTATTATACATATTAAGTTATTAAGGTATTGAACCGGAAGTACGTGTGAGTAAATTTGTGGTTTTCTTTATTTAAAAATAAATAATAATATGAAAGTATTGGAGTTAATTATAATGATTGTATAGCAAAAAAAAAAATAATCATTTGAAGATAACTGGAGAATAAAAAAATATTCACAAATATTTTAATTATCTTTAAATCTTTATGATTTATTTTATTTTTATTTTTATCTTCAAATTTTAAATGAGTAACACGATATAATTATTTTTTATTCTTTAAATGAATAATAAGATGAGTTTATACTATTTATATAATTCTTAAAATAAATAAATGAATAATTAATAATTACAATTTAAAAAACAAAAACTAGACAACTATTCTGGATACAACTTACATGAGGCCCACCAGATGGGTCCAACCTCTCAAAGCCCATCTTTTAGAAGGCATCATAGGATGTCCCCTCTTCTCCATGCACACCAGCTGCTGCACAAGGGCAGGGGTTCAGCATGCCTAGCCTGAAAAGGCTAAGCTGGCTAGGTTGGCTAGAGCTCTTGCTCTAAATAGCCCCTCTCACATTGAGGGAGGGATCTCTTCTTCTCCACTCAGCCTCTACGGCTGTGACCATGGAGAGCCACCTTAGCCACTTCCACACACACCCCTCTTTATGCACCATTGGAAGCTCCACTAGTGCTTGGTCTCTACCATTGTCACTATGGACACCCCCTATATCAACATACTTTACCCTTACGGAAGACATCTATGTACCACCGGGAGTACAACAACAAAGTGTGAAATCCCCTTTATGATAGTAACATAGATTCAAAATATTAATGATTGCATTCGAATTGTAACTATCCAGGAAAGCCCTTGTTTAGCAAAACGAGAAGAATCTTTCCCACAAAATTAAAAAGCTTAAAAAGTAGCATTTCTGTTTTCATGAGTAAAGTGTTGATTTTTTTTGTGTTGATTTTTTGGGGCAGATTGTATCAAAAAAAAAAAAACAGTGTTGATTTTCGTGGTGTTAAATGAGAGTCTGTTCCTTTTGCTCTAAGGTTTTAGACCTTTCGCTTATAGACTTTTCGCTTTGATCTTCCTATGACTGGTTTTCCTATTCAATCATGTGCACGATGCTCTGGCTCATGGAAACTACGGTCCTGATTGGATGAACATGGAGTCACAAGATACCTGCAAAAGTGACCAAAAGATCATAAGCAAACTGCATTATTCTTTGTGGTTGTGGATCACAATTTCTCATGTATTCTACTAACACCGCCTTCCCTCTCTGATCTTCTTAATTAGCTTTTTTCTCTCTTTAAATAATATGAGCATTCAAATAGTTGAACTCGTGAGATATTGGGAGTTCTAAGTCGCCTCAAAGAGATAATTAGGATCAGTTACCAAAAATAAAATAAAACATATGAGCATTTAATCAGTAATATTTAAAACCAAATTAATGCGCATCATAATTATTCATTATTTATTCCTAGTATATGTTTATATAAATATACTTCAAACCACTAGGTTTGATTTAGTGATAAGAAATTTTAATAGGTTATCTGTTCAATTTTCATTATTATATCAAATATATATATAAGATAAAACATATGAGCATTTAATCAGCAATATTTAAAACCAAATTAATGCGCATCATAATTATTCATTATTTATTCCTAGTATATGTTTATATAAATATACTTCAAACCACTAGGTTTGATTTAGTGATAAGAAATTTTAATAGGTTATCTGTTCAATTTTTATTATTATATCAAATATATATATAAGTAGGATTATATTTATAAATTTTTTATTTACAAACTCTTATAAACTATATTATATTTTATGAATAGTATATGCATGTACTATCAATAATACATAGTATAAATATAAGAATTTATAAATAAAAAATTTGTAATTATCCCGTATATATACTTCAATCAAAGTTTTGTGCCTGCTGAAATATTACATATGAAAACATAAAAGGTCAAAGCCTGTGAGTATGACACTTGCCCCGTAGAGTACTTTGCAAACATGTATACATTGAGATTGAGCCCCACTTTTCCTTTAAATAGTTAATTAACCGACATATGCACTTGGAGAACATAGAGCAACCAATGGTGTCCGTGACTTCACGTCGACCAGGTAATGAG